TGAGCCCGGATTTCCTGGGAGCAGCTGGCTCTTTTCTTCACGGCGGACGACATTTACAGCAAGCAGGTTGCTGCTGCCTCCGCTCAGGAGGCACCGTGGCTGCTGGGGGTTAAGTGGGAGTCAGTGACGCCGGCAGCTCCGGCTTTGCTCAGCTCACACCCTGGAAGGCTCTTGGCCAGGCACACCTGCACTGGAGCCCACAGCTCTGGGGCAGGGTCGAGGGCAGGGAAGCCGTCTCACTCAGCTCTGGCTGCTACAGCAAAAGACCACAGACGGGTGGCTTATGGACAACAGACGTTTATTTCTCACAGTCAGGAGGCTAAAGGTCCAAGATCAAGGTGCCGGCCGGTTTGGTTCCTGGTGAGAGCTTTCTTCCTGGTTTGCAAGGAGAGACAGGAGAGACAGAGAGAGGGAGAGAGGAGGTGGGGCACTAGCCCTCTCGGGCCTCTTCCTATCAGGGCCCCAATCCCATGATTCACGCTCCACCTTCCCGACCTAATCACCTCCCAAAGGCCCCACCTCCAAATACCATCACATTGAGGTAACAATTCCGACACGAATTCTGAGGGGAAACAAACATGCAGTCCGGAACAGGAGCTCTCGACCAGCTTCCAGACATGTGATGTGCATCAGAATCTCCCTCGGAGGTGGATAAAAAGACACCCCTGGGCCCACCCGCGGTTCTGCTTCCCCTAGACACGAGGCGGGCCCAGGCCCCTCGGCTGAGGAGCCCTGTGTTAGCATTCACCTTGTGACATGGCCTCAGGAGGGCTGGGGACTGTCAGCACAGTGTTAGGTCGTTAGCCAAAAGTGGGAAAGAGCCTAAGCTGAGACGGAGTCTAAGAGACAGTGAGAAGGCAGGGAGAGAAGCAGGAGAGACAATCTTCTACCAAGCCAAAGACGATCTTCTACCAAAGCCAATGTTGGGGCTTAAGACCATTGATCGTCCCCTCAGTTACAGAGCTCTCGGGGTATCCCACACTTCCATGCACTGCCTCATTTAATCCTCACCACAACCCCCTGAGATAAGGAATTACAATCACTAATGCATTTACAGATGGGGAAACTAAGGCACAGAGGGGTTGAGTAACTTGCCCATGTCACAAAACTGATAAATGGTGTTACTGAGATAGAACTTCAGATGTCTATCTCAGATCCATGCCTGGACCCACCAGACCAGGGGAAATACAGCAGATGCTGGCGGCTTTGGGAGAGGAAAGAGACAAGGCTGATCCCAGGGCAGCTCAAGGAAGCAGCCCAGAGGAGGGCGGGCATGTTTCTGAAGCCTGGAGATGGGTGGGAAGGTGGGAAGGTGGGAAGAAAAACCACCTCCTGATCATAGCAGTTGGCGCACCAAGAAGCTCAGAGTGGGCCCAGTACACACGGTTGCTCTGCTCTTGACATGTTTCCCTGGGATTTCTTGTGAAGCTTGGCCTCAGCAACTTGTGCGAGGAATGAAGCACACTCCACTACAAAGACACAAGGAGCAGGATGAAGGCCACGTCAGGTATCAAAGCCTTCAACACAGGTTTCAGAACCCAAAAGGTCAGACAAATCACATATGTCATGAGCATACGGCATTTGTTTACCAACTGTGGGGTGCCAGCACAGTAAATATCACTTTATATGGTCATTGGTTTCCGAAATTTCCAGCTAAACTGCCCCACCCCCAGCTGCTCAAACGAAGTTTCCAAATCAAGTTTTAAAAATAGCTGCTTTTCCAACAATTTAAGTTAACATCCTGGGCATTCATCCTGGGCGTTCCCAGACGGCTGGGCAGGCTGGTGCCGAGCATGGGCAGGACCCGTGGGAGGCAAGCCTGGAGGACTTCTTGGACGTGGTGCATCTACGAACTGCTTACTACTCACTTCCTGTGAGGAAGTGAGGATTGAGAGGAGAGTTCAGAAATGATTGTAGCCATGTGACATTGCCCGATGTCCAGCTCCTTGTTGACCAGTTCACGTATCACGTGGTCAGTAGCACGTGGACTGAGCCACCTACACTTTCCGTGTAGTTAACGTTTGTCAACTGTAATCCAAAAGGGCAAAAATCTGAAATTGTTTCATCAAAAGATAATTTTAACTACAATTTATGAAGATCAATTGTGAAAATTGACTTCTGATGAAAGATTGGAGATGAATAAAGCACTACTTGCTTCAATTTGGATAAAACTTAAGAAAGAACAGCCTGTGCTGGCTGAGTTTACTTTATAATCTCCTCTTGGATTCCTGTCAACATATCTCTGAGGGTGTTTTGTCTACTATGCGTGTTATTACAACGAAACATAGCATTTAGGGAGACATTTTCCCCTGTGAGGATGGTGGTTGCTCAATCAGATAAGCAGAAACAATCTCACTTGTCACATTAAAAATATTGAATACTGAATCAACAGTGTTCATTTATTGTATTATACAAAAGTATTATTTTGGAAGGATTTGAAAAAAAGAAAAACTGAACTTGACCGCAGATAGTTTAAGAGACCCTGCCGTAAAGGGAATTCTCCTGGCAGGATGGGAAAGGGGCATGTGTGTGTGTGCGCTCATGTGTGAGTGTGTGTGAGACGGGGTGGTCAAACACAAGGGGAGAGGGATAAAACCGCTCCCTTTCAACAATAAAAACACTATTGTGTCAGGTAATTACGTATTGCATAGTCTCCACGAGAAACAGACACATTTGTCTCTGTTCTGGTCGAAACGAAAATGGACCTTTTCCCTTTCCGGAGCCAGCTCTGCTGCTGGCCAGTCAGCTCAGAGCCAGTGCTCGCGAAGGGCTGTAACCCCAGGGCCAATCCGCGTGGGTCCCCTTCGCCCTCACAATGCAAAAGCCAACTGTTTTAAGGGCACAGACGGCAAAGTCCCGGCCAGCTCCCCGCCCCTTGCCCTCTGTTTCACAACCATCTTCAAGGAAACCTGACCGGAGGGTTCCCGAGCTTCCATGAGACCCTCACCACGGCAGAAAACAACGCGCACAGCCCAGCTCTGGCGAAACGGGGGCCTCCGCCAGCGGACAAAAGCCAACTCGCTTTTCTTTTAGAATCTACTAGTCTGAGGCCAGTGCATCAAACTTTAGTTTTAATTTACTTCTGCCACAAGAGTGACTGACATGGGTTTTTTAGCTTCCTGCCAAAGAATACAATTGCAAACTGAGTCGTTCATACATATGATTAGAGGGCACCTTTGTGAAATTGTCATTTGGAAAATGCCAGTGGTGACGGGCGAGGGGATGGGAAGAGCAGGTCTCCGTGGGCCTGCGAACAACAGCGCTCAGGGGACGCAGAATTGAGAGATTATTCCACCCCTCACGCATCCTTCCTCAGAGTGAGCCGAGGTGCAGACCCGGGGCATGGCCTGGAGAAAGGCACCCAAAGGACCCAAAAAAGGCAAATTCCCATTGTCTGGACCAGACAGGTGTTGGGCAAGGAGAAGAGAAATAGCTTGGAATTTGTCAGTTTGTGATTTTTTCAAACTTCAGATTAATTTGCCCTCTCCGATCTATAAACCATCGACATCGTGTCCTCATCCTCTCTCGGCGTCTCTCTCACTTTCCCCTGGAGCGTGAGTCCGCAGAGGCGACCAGTGGTGATCTGTGGAGCACTCACCGTCTCCCGGATGTGCAGCAGAAACGACTTCCCTCCAAGTGGACGCCTGGCTGGCTCCGCAAGGTTTCACCTGCCTTTCCCGGGGCGTGACCAGAAGGCGGCTTCCTTCGTGATTTGTCTCGTGCAGAAAAGCTTCCTCGGGAACTCCACTGAGAAGCAAATCTGCCAAAGTGAGGCACGATGCCTACGACTCGGTCTTCATTCCATGACAGAAAGGCACTGGCTTCCGACCCTGCCTATAGTCACCACCGACCTCGGCACTCACTTAGCTTTAAATCCTGGAGTGGCAAGACGACACAGCGTTAAGCAAACCTACAATTCCCTGCTCTGAAGGAAGACGTACTGCGGTAGGCGGTCATGTGCTCCCTACAGCACAATCCATAAAACCAGTGGATTCCTCAAAATGGAACGTACTATGAGCTCTCCTTACACGTGCTCTCCAATACAAAGTACATTTCCTAAAGATGCAACTTTTGTTTTTTATTGTATTCAATTCCAAAAGAAAAGGAGCTCTTCTTGGCTAGCTAGGCCAGCTGTCCCAGAGGACAGGTTGGAGAATCCACCTTCCCCCACCCCAAAGCACACACACGCCTCACACACTCACCTGCTCACACCCACATGCTCACCTAGGCATGCATGCTCACACACTCATACCACTCCCACAGTCTTACACACACTCGTGTGCACACTCAGTCATGTGCACATACTTTTGTGTGTGTGTGTGTGTGTGTGTGTGTGTGTGAGGAAGACCGGCCCTGAGCTAACATCTGCCAATCCTCCTTTTACTGAGGAAGACTGGCCCTGGGCTAACATCCGTGTCTGTCATCCTCCACTTTATATGGGACACCGCCACAGCATGGCTTGACATGCAGCGCATTGGTGCATGCCTGGGATCCGAACTGGCGAACCCCAGGCCGCCACAGCGGAGTGTGCGCACCCAACCACCTGCGCCACCAGGCCGGCCCCCTGCACACATTTAATCACACATGTGAGCACACACACCCACTCATGCGCACACACTTGCACGTTTTTTAACCTGGTGACGATTTGCAGGGAGAACAACTGGAACCCTCTTGTCTGACAGCCAAGCACACTCGCTTTCTTCAGAGAGAAGTGTATGTTGGAATTTGTGCTGTTTTCTGACTGAGAGGCCCCCAAAAGTAAAACGCTCTGTACCCCTCGTCCTCATGTCATTTTAAAAGGGGTGACAGGTCAGAGGCCAGGATGGTATCTTCAGACAGGAGCAAATCGAGCCGGAAGGGGAGAGAAGGAGGCACATGTCACAGCACCTGCCGTGGACTGGAACAGCATGAAGGACTCCGTGCTCAGAAGGCCATACATCTCAGAGGTCAGGCACCTGCGTAGTGACTGTGTCTCCTCTTTAAAACACCGCAGAGGAAAGTGATCAAAAGTCACCTCTCCCTGTGAGCATTTTAAAGGCCAGGTGTGGCTACTTCTCTGCCTCCTGCAGTTCCCTCAGCGTGGCCCGGAGAAGGCGCTGAAGCTTCCAGAACACCTTGGGGGCTGCTCTCTGGGGGTTCCCAGCCGGGCCCCCTGGGTCTGCGCATTCCTGCACCGCCTCCCGTAACTGCAGCTGAAGCTGGAAGGAAATGGCAGAGCTCTTGAGAGTCGAGGCAAACCAGTGGCGGAATATTTTGTCACAGATGACCTGAGGGAAGGATGGTGAGCGGTTAGTTCAGGGCAGCAAATCACCCTTGAAAGCTTCCCCAGCAACTAGTTCTTCAACAGACGTTGTGTTTCTCCCACATCCCCCAGGTTCTTCAGGGTGGGGACCACAGAGATCCTTTGAGTCTAAAAAGCACCTTTCCTTCTGGAACTTAAACTGCTCGGCACCATGAATAAACTGCCTCAGAGAGGAGAAGGCTACCTCAGTGTGAGGTAGAAAATTCCATTTCTAGCCTCAGAGCAGATGGGGAAAGTGCTGGGTGACACTTCAGAAAGGACTGAATACATCTCTGAAGAGAAAAGGGAGCAGCAAGTCACAGGCAGTAACGGCTGCATAAGGAGTGGGCCCCTTGGTGGATCTGAGGGCAGCCAGCCTCACTCTGCCACCACACTGCTGAGGCTGGGCTTTACCCACCAGTGGTCACAGTAACAGTGATAACCACCTCACAGGGTTGTCCTGAGGGTCAAATGACCTGTTGGGGAGAAACAGTATGCAAATGTAACAGCACTTTGAGGCTCATGAGAAAGATATATTGGAAGAGAAAGGCTGTAGACAGAAGGCTCTTTTAAGGAGCCCTTGAAATGTTTTATTGTAGGAGCAGAGGTAAAAAGTAAGCCACTCTCTCACAGCCTTTAATTCTAGTAAGGTATGAAATTCACTAATGTTGAAAATCTCTTTAAATTCTCAATTTAAACATGTTGTTTGTCTTACATCTTTCATAGTTTCCTCCCTGTTGAGAGAACTGGACTGGGAGCTGCATAATTAAAGAGCTTTACTTTTCTCTATCACACTTTATATTAGACTCACTTAGCAAACGCCTCAATTTTACAGAGCTACTGTTTCACAGAGGACAAATAACTTTAACTTCTGTTTTCCAGTGCCTGCAGGACTTTTTCAGGGCGAGGATTCATTTGAAAAACAAATTCTCTTATTTTTTGAATTGATAATGTATTTCATGTGCAAAAATTTCAAACGTCCTGAAAGATAGATGGTAATCTTAGTCTCCATCCCACTCCTGACAGCCGGACACGCAGCTCCCAGCTCTGAGAGGCAACTGCTTCCTTGAATATCGTTCTGGAGAGTCTACCCATACATGAGCCTACAAGTGCATTTCCTTTTCCTTTTATGTTACACAAATGGCAGTGCATTACACACACTGTTCTATAGCTGCCATCTCACTTAACCAAATATTGGGCAGAGCCTTCCACATCAATTCTTACAAGATATTCCATTTGTTTTAACAGCTGCACCTCCAATGTATGAATGTATCATAAGTCATTTAACTCGTTTCCTATTGATAGAAATTTAGGTTGTTTACTAACTTTTGCTATTATGAACAACACTACAATAAAAATCTTGCACATATATCATTTTCATTTTGCACACGTGACTAAATTTCCAGAAATGGAAGTTCTGGGCCAAGGGGCAGATGGGTTTTTTGTTTTGATAGATATTGCCAAAATGACCCCATAAAAGTGGTACCGAGTTACTCTCCCAGCAACGTACAATAATAGTGCTTGTTTCCCCCATGCCCTCGCCAACACGTGTTGTCTTTCATTTTTGCCAACTGATAGGTGAAAATGGTTTCATTTGCATTTTTTTTCTTATCAGTCAGGTTGAAAGCTATTTGTGCTTCCTTTTCAGTGAATGGTCAAGTTCATATCCTTTGCCCACATTTCTATCAGACTGTCAGCCTTTTTCATATTAATTTGTAGATGCTCTTTACATCTTAAGGATATTAGCCCCTTGCTTAGGTTGGTTTCCTGGGGAGCAGCCTCTAAAATGGAGGTTTGCATGCAAGGATTTATTGAGGGGTGTGCTCGGGGACCACATCTCCATGGGACTGCAGGAGAAGGTAAACTTCTGGTGCTGAGATGGCTTGCAGAGCGGTTCCTTATTGAGGCCAGCAGGCTGGGCTTTGCATATGGCCCTGCCCCCACTGACCCATCACTAGACGCTGCCCCTGGGATGTGGGGTAGCCATGGCAAAGAAGCTCTGGTGGGACAAAAACAATCCTGGGGACCCACTCTGAGCCTCAGCCTCTGAAGGCTAAGAGCCCCTCTATCCTCTACTCTCCTGATCTGTAAGAGCAACTGCAAATATTTTGCCAATCTTCTCATTTAACTTTTAAATTTGCTCATATTTTTTGTAATTTTGTGATTACCATGTGGGTTTTTTAAGATAATTAAATTTGTCAATTGTTCCTCTTATGGCCTCTGAGCTTTATTCCATACTTAGAAAGGACTTTCTTATTCTGGGATACTTTAAATTCTCCCAGGTTTTTTCTGGTACATTTAGGATTTCACTTTTTTATGCATATGTATTTGAGCCATCTGGAATTTAGTTTGACGTAAGGAGTGAGATAGGAGTTAATTTGTTGTGCCTGGCTACCCAGTTTACTAGCACCAGCCACTATATAACCTAGCTTTCCTCCCACTGGCATGCATGCCACCTCTATCACATACTAAATGCCCATACGTCATTAGGTCTATTTCTGAAATTTTAAAAATTCTATTCCTTTGATCTGTCAATCAGTTTATGCAAGGCAGGGAAAATTTTAAGTTAGGAAAGTAATACATAACCACTGTAGAAAACTTATAAAATATAGAAAAGATGAAGAAAACAAAAATTATCTGTAATACTATCACCCATAAATAATTGCTTTTGATGTTTTGGTATCTATCTTTCCAATTACATACTCTTAACAAAAATGGGATGATATGGTAAATACCGATTTGAAACCTGCATTCTTTTCATTAAACAAATGTTTCATATTTTCTCATATCCTTAAAGAAAGTATAATTTCATTCCTAGGAATTTATTCAAAGGCAATAATCAGATATGTGCACAAATGAAATTGCTCAGCTAAAGAGCATGAATGTAGAAATGCAGAGAAATTTACAATCACGTTAACAATATAGACACATCTATTTCGCTGAAGTCTCACCTGTTAATTAATAGCACTTTAACAACTATTCTTAATAGTCAAAAATGAAAAATTCCCATCGAGTTTTAATTTGGATGTCTTTGAAGAGCAAGATTAAATAACTTTCCAGGTTCTTTGGCCATTTGGATTTATCTCTTGTAAAGACGTAAAGATACATCCCTTGTGTATTTGTTACGTGCTCTTGTCTGGCCAATTTTGTGTGTGTGTGCCCCTTGCCTCTTAATGGATCTGTAAGAGCCCTTTATATATTAAAGATAGTAACCTCAGTCTCTCATTATGCAGCAAAGGGCAGGTGTTAGTGTTTCCACTTTGTGGGATGAGGTCACAAGGTAGTCGATGCTCTAGTGAAAATCATCTTGTTCCCACAGCTGAAGAAGAATGATTTTATTACAGACCCACCGAGGGTGTGAGTCCACATTAAGTTAAAGAGGCTGGGATGGGAGGCCTCCAAAGTCCACATCCCTGCTGGTCTTCCAACCCAGGCTTTTGTCTGGCCTGGTCCAGGACCACCAGACAAACAGCACAACTGTCCAGGTCTCCTGAGATCAGCCCTCCGTTATGGCATGACACAGCCCCAAGCTCTGGCCTGCTCTCATCCAAGTCCATATCACCAGGTCTGCATCAGGTCACAGTGGCCTCTCAGGCTGGAGGGCTGGAGGGAGAAACAGGCTACAGGGAGGTGAGACTAGGGAGTGGGTTGGACAGGAGAATAAAGAAGCCGGAAAGCATGCACGAGGCAAGAGCATAGATTAGCGGTCACACCAACCAGGGGTGGTGGAAGTGAGTCCAGCTTCTCTGCCAGGACCTCTTCCTGGTTGTAATCAACACTTGTGAGCCCAAATCCACACCCACCTGAGAGCCTCATGTGAGGACCGAGAGCAGACAACTTCTGCCCAAAGAAGAGGGATGTTTCCCCACTGATGGAGTATCAGCCCTGCATGTGGGATCTCCCTAACTCTAGATCCTATCTGAAAGCCTGGACCCAGCATCCATTCCTACTTATCGCTGATCTCCTGGACTTGGGCCACATGTTTCTTTCTCCCTCTATTGACCACCGCTGGCCCCAACCCCACGCCTGTCCAGACTGTAGTGTCTGTCTAGCCTCTCTGGTTTGGCCACTTTCTCAGGACTGCTTTGTACTCTTTTCAGTCTTATCCTTGGTGGATAGGCCTCTGGGTGCTCATTCTGAGTGTGTGTGTGTGTGTGTGTGTGTGTAGATGCAGAAACTAGACCCAGAGAGAACGGCTATCCAAGCCCCCATAGCTGGAGGGAGACCAGTAAGGGGCTTTGCTGGGAACTCCATCCATTAGACCCCAGTGCGGTCACTCGGCCAACAACCCCATGGGGTGGACAACACAGAACAAATGATCACCCCATCTCCACCATCCCTGACCTTACCGAACACATGGAGCCTAGGTGCCACAGAGGGGTGACCTTCGGCTACATTAACAGGATGCTACAGCACTGGCAGGCAGAGGCAGCCAGAACGAACACGGCCTCCTCCAGCCTGTGCGGCAGCCATTGCTCACCTGCAAGTTGCTGTTGACTCGCTGCGCTCCACACTTGTTGACTCGCAAATCACACTTTGAAAAACAGTCAAAGAAATTGCAGTCCTCATCTCCCGTGCAATTCTGCTCAAGGATTTCCCTCATTTTAGGTTCAAAAAAGGCCATGTCCACATCGATAGCCACCACCTGTAACCCAAGCAGCACAGGGTTATCCAAAGGACCCCCGGGGGCTTAGCACCGAGGGAGCCTGTGCAGCGCCTCGGGTTCCCATGTGAGGGTGCAGGTGGTGCAGAAAGCAGGGATCCCAGAGCTCTGCCAGCCAGGAGGAGCCCAGGCCGTGCCAGGAGGTGCTTGTTTTATCTACACAAGCAACTGGCATCGGTTATATTGCAAGAGTTTAACTGCAAAAAGGACCTTTGCTGTCACTAGCGAAAGCCTACAATTTGGGACTATAACTAGAAGTGTCACTTTTCATTTTAAATCTTTTTTCAGCTTTAAAAGCAGAATCTCTGAAATGTCTTAAAAATGAATTGACTCTCCCTCCGTTGCTTTACCACTGTGGTCTCTGACCTTCAAGAGTCAGGAATATAAAAGCCGCGAAATACAGAGAATCTGTCCCCATGACTATATGCAACGAAAGTAAACCACACTCAAAGGGCAGGTCTGTGGGCGTGATGGTGAAGAGGAGTGGACGGTTCCTAAGTTGTCTGTGTATGGCGTGTCTCTTACCTGAGTCAACTGGCTTCCAACCGGCTGGTCGGATTGAAACGTGGGGGCAAATGGCAGCGTCAAAGTTCTCGAAGTAGGGTTGATATGTGTGGACCCTGATCCAACAGCATCAAATACTAAATCCCATTGTCAGCATGAGAACGCGCTGACTCCCTGGAATTTCAGATTTATCTTCCTGGCTTCAAACCAAATAAGCTTCAAAACCAGAATAAGAGTAACATCTAAATTATGCAGATATTCCACCACCACCTGAATTAAAAAAAAGATAAGCTCAACCCTGAGAAAACCTGGAGTCTGCCCAAATCAAGCAGTTTATAGCTTCAAGGTATTATAAAGCTACTAGAAGATTTGATGAATTTGATGGAGTCTGTGGCATTTCACAAGCCTTCACAGGTCGGTATCAAAATATCACCCTTCCTTCCCCCTTGGGTAGCATCTCAAAATAGGGTTCATTTGTCCGTGTTCATCTCCTCATCAGTTCTATGCGATGTTGAGAGGCACGTTCCTGGGTTTTGGTTTTGTTTTTCATTCAGGATTGATGCCAGAAGGCAGTCAAGTTTCTTGGGGATTAGTCAGTAAAACAGAGGAGCAAAAAAATTTTATTTCAAAATATGTGGAGAATAATGAAAATAAAGAACAGGGAACTTTTCCCTATTTAGGAGCTTTGCCTAATGACTAACTCAAGCACAGCAAACAGAAATTATCCTTTTAATCAATTTTTCCTAACTCATTATTTAGCCAAAAGTAATAGCTCATTTCATTATTTATACTGATTAAAACACTAAAAATGTATGAGGCTATGCTAAAGAATCTATTGTCTTTAAAATTTATTATTGGGGCAACAAGATCCTTCTCTTCTTTCTATAGCTTCTGGCAATCTCCCCAGCTTCCCCTGGGCCCCTAGATGGAATTTCAGCCCCTTGCAACTTCTCTCTCCCATTTCTAATTGTTCCCTTCTCATTTCCCAGGGAGAGCCAGATTTATTTTTTTAATTTTTCATGTATGGAACAGAATGGCTACAGCTATTGTAAGCATGACTCCATGCACCTAAAATAAGAACAGTAACAACACAACAGAAATCCTGCATGAGTGTTCTTAAATAGTATCAGGAGAATCATAACATTCTTCCTGCGTGAAATTACCTAACTTGTATCATTATCTTCCAACTTCATCCTGGCATCCGACTAGAAAGGATGGATGAGAATTATTTCACTCTCCACTGAAAAGTGCGGCTCTAGAGGAGGAAACAGCACCTATTTGGAAGGAGCACTTCCTGGCAACAGTTTGGGAGCACGAATTAATGATGTTTCCTACATCAATGGTTGTTCGATTGCAACCACTGGATAAATTCTCAAGACCTGCAGGTGGGGACCTGGAAAAAGTGAATGACTGCGCCTCGTCACTTCTTCCATGTCACCTGAAGGACACTGCCTCCTTCCACCAGGGCAACACCTCAATAGGGGCCAAAGGGAGGACCCACCTGCTGGTCCCTTAGCTTGCCAGTGCTCAAACTTGACTGCGCACCAGAATCACCTGGGGGCTTGTTTTTAAAACACAGATCACCAAGTCCCACCCCAGAGTTTCAGTAGGTCTGGGGTGGCGTCGGAGAATTTGTATTTCTAACAAGTCCTCTGGTGATGCTGATACTGCTGGTTTTCACTTAAAAGTTGTAAAATCATAAACTTCTTGAACCTCAGCTTCTCTAAGGAAGGTCAATAACGCCAGGGTTAGCCAAGTGGAATCCTCCCCATTCTCACCCGAGCAAGCACTCAGGCAGAGGTGAGGGCCCATGTGCTCTGGCGCCAGTCCACACAGCACCTTTTGGGGGTAGGTCAGAGTGTGATCATTATCTCATTGAACAAATATTTCGTGCCTATCGTGCGAAAGATGCTGGAAGGCACAACTCAGGTGGACCATGCAAGCCAGGATGTCCACGTTGCCCTCTCCCCGGGGAAGACCCATTGGCCCCACCTCCTTTCTAAAGCTTTTCTTTCCTAGGCCCAGCCCATAACGCCCTCAACTTTTACCACACCTGTTGAGTTTCACTCACTGACACTCCATAATACTGGCTGCATGAATAAATGAGTGATCAAAGGATGAGAAGAACCAGCCCTGTAACTGCCCAAAGCCAGCAGTTGTGTGTGGACCTCCACACCTCCTCTCCCAAAGCCTCAGGGCAGCTGCATCCCCAGGACTTCTCTGAGGAGGAGAACAATGGCTCTTCATGGCCATTACACAATCTTCCCGTTCACGAAGTAGGGAAGCCTGGGCCAGGATCTCAGCTCTAAGAAGTAAGCTGGATTGGGCCGGCCCTGTGGCTTGGTGGTTAAGTGCGCGCGCTGCGATGCTGGTGGCCCGGGTTCGGATCCCGGGTGCGCATCGAGGCACCACTTCTCCGTTCATCCTGAGGCCGAGTCCCGCATACAGCAACTAGAAGGATGTGCAGCTACGACATACAACTATCCACTGGGGCTTTGGGGGGAAAAAATAAAATAAATAAAATCTTTAAAAAAAAAAAAAAAAAGAAGTAAGCTGGATTAATCTAGGGTGTCCCTCCCCTTCACAACTCATCTGGAGGGGTCTCGTGGAGCTCAGGGTATTGCAGACCCTCCTCCAGAGCCCGCTGCCCAGCATGCAGATCCTCCTGGAACTTCCCAGAACCTTCTGGAACCTGCCAGCTCTTTCCCTTCCACACTTCAAGCCACCTCTGGCTTATCAGCCCCTCTGGGGCAGTCAGGGACAGGGTATTGGGACAAAGTTTGCGCAAGGTGCTACAATGCCCTTCACAGTGACAAAGTCTTGACTGGGCAAGGGATTTACACTGTTGGCAAATTTAGTTTTCCAGATTTCAGGCTGTTTTATGAAGGCATTCCTATGCCACCTGCCATGCAAGCCCATGGCTGGCAGTAGTAGTACCTTCTTTTTGTCCCTTTATGTTTTAACAAGGATGAAGAGCATTGTTCTGCCATGAGCCAGCCCCTACAATGACCAGTCCCCTGAGGTGGCGGGAGTTAAGCTGGCCTGGCTGTTCACCTTCAGCACTTGCAGTGTAAGAGTTGATGTGTTGCAGTAGGGGGAGTGACCCCAGACAATGACACAGCCACATCTGTGACACCCCAGGCACCCAGACCACTGGAGCATTAATCTGACACTGGGGTTTAGCCTAGCTGGGGGGAAGCAGGAGGGGATTATCTTACAATAAAACACAGAGGTCCCTCCTGCTGCTTCTCCACCTCGTGTCGTGTAATTCCTCATACGCCCGCACTACCCAGAGAAGGAGATAAAATTCCCCTGCCCTCTACAGAGCAGTGCAGAGGCAGACATTCCCACCTGGGCAGGACTTTACCTTGCGGAAGGCGGCAAAACTCCAGTGGACCCTCGAGAAGTCTTACCCACGGAAGGGAAAGTAACTACAACTTGTCCAGGAAGAAAGTATTAGAAAAAGTTGCACATCATCATAGAGCGTTGGCAGTGTGAAAACAGCGTCCCCCAACTGGGACATTGTACAAATGCCCCCAAACGCCATCCCTCCCCATGGTCCTCTGTGGCTCCTCATCTCCTGAAGACTGTCTCTGCACTCAGCAAGAGCTTCTCCCAAATGAGCTCTAAGGAGCCGCTGAGCTGCTTTAGAGGAACCAGACAGCCCTGAGGAAGGACAGACCTCGCCTCGCTGGCCTTTTGCCTCCTGCCGGAGGGGCCATTCATTACAGTTCCCATTCCTGGGGTGGTGTAACGGGCAGACGCTCTTTAAGCTCCCTCATTAACACCCTGAAAGGAGGTGGTTTGGCAGGTCGGAGTTGTCCAGGCTAGAAACTTGCACAACGTTACAAACAGCGTTGTAAAACAGCGTTTTCCCAGGATTTCAGAAATCCTCTCATTTACGACCACCCGGACCCAAAAGTCCTGTCCTCCACCTGAGAAATGCGCCCTCCCAGAGCCACTCACCGTGAAGTCACTCCTGATGGCAAAGTTTTCCGGCTTGACGTCGCAGAGGTGGAGGCGGTGGGAGAAGTCGTTGTCGAAATGGCTCACCATGTCCAGGAAGCTGAGCGCTATGTCGCTGACGGCCTTGGCCTGGCCCCGGCCACCAGGGGAGGCACCGGCCGCCCCGTCCAGGGGGAAGAGAGCCGTATGGCGGGGGCTGCCGGCCGCCAGGTACTCCACGGCGTAGAAGTGGCCGCAGGAGCCCAGCACGGGCAGGGCGTGGCGGCTCAGGTCCTGCAGCAGGCTGAAGAGGACGAACTCCTCCTGCTGGAGCAGCGCCCACAGGCTGGCCAGCTGGCCGCGCCGGCGCGGGCCGCGCCTCCCCGGCCACAGCGCGCCCAGGCTGCTGGCGGGCAGCTCCAGGCCCAGCGCGCTCCTCACCTCGCCGGCCACCAGCAGCAGGAGTTCGGCCTCCGTGAAGTCCTGGCCGCCCTCCTCGGCCGGGCCCTCCAGCAGGCTGAGCGGCCGGAAGCTGGCGAAGGCCTCCTCCTTGGACTTGAGGACGACGGGCCGGCCGCGCCAGTCGGCCTGCAGCACCTTCTTGCCGCGCTCGTAGTACAGGCAGCGCCGGTAGCGCAGCCGCCCCGCCGCGCACAGGTCCTCGCACAGGTCTCCCACCAGCGCGCCGCCCTCGTAGTCCCGGCACTGGAAGGAAGGGGACAGCCGGTTACAACACGCGAGGGGCAGGCAGAGGGGACAGGGCTGGGCCCTGCGCTCAGGACGCTTCTAATCAGCTGCAGAGAGAAACGTCAAGAACTGGGAACCACACCGGCTCGCAGGGTCAGTGAGTAATGAAGTGAAGACCTAAAAGAGTGTCTCAGATTTATTGTAACTCAGTCGGGCCCAGGACCAGGCCTCCAGGATCAGGACACCCGGAGGCGAGAAGCAGGTCTTGCGCCCGCCAGCTGTGTGATGCCTGGAACGCCCTTTTGCCACGTGCGTTTCAGTGTCTTCACCTGTCAGAGAAAGGGCTGGGCCAGGCCAGGAGTTCTCAACTCTGGCCATGGGTTAGGGTTCCCCCGGGGGGCTTTAACCCCAGCCAAGAACAGCTGAGTCAGATCTCAGGAGGTGGGGCCCCAGGGACCACAGTAATCACCTTTCCACACACACTGCTGCGGCTGTAAGGCCAGCAGGCTCTGGGAGGATTATAGGGTTCAGAGAACCCATCACAGGGAACAGGAGATGGGACAGGCCTCATGGTTGGTAGTGCCAGCATGACAAGAGAGCAGAACGCACCAGGGACGCCTTTCAGAAAAGAGGAACCCCACAGAATAGATTCTGGAAGCATAGGGAGTGTCTGGTTCCTGTAGGTGGTAAGGAAGGCATCCAGGAGTCCTCAGACAGGGCATTTCTCCTAAACTTCTGGGGCTCTTGGGATGGGTGCCACATGAGGGGACCTGGTGACCCCCCACCACACTACAAACGTACCTAAGAAGAGAGTCCAGCCAGGCCGTCTGCAGGACCAGCTAGAGAGGGGAGGGGGTGAGGTTAGTGTGGAACAGAGTAAAAGGGAGAATTATTATTCTTTCTCTTTTATCTCTTTCAGGAAACCCAAACCTCTAGACCCATTTTTATTAGGGGTTCAGCATATTTTGTAACTCCACCCGTTTCCTCCACAAATGAATCTTCCTTCCACATCAGCAAATGCAGGCCTCTCTTCCTTCCTAGAACTTCCACAGCACCTGAGACAAGAGACATAAGATCTAGTTCTCATAAGGTAATAAGACAAATGGAAAACCACAAGTGTTTCTTTCACTCCACCTTGTTTATTACATAGTGCCTTGAATGGCCAGCTGGGGCAATGGTCAGTGCACTGTGGTGCAGAGAATAAAGGGTTGGATCAAGAGCCAGAAAGCTTGGATCTGGCCCTGGCTGTGCTGTGACATCCTGAGCAGACCACCTGACTGCTCTGAGCCACAAATTCCTCCCCTGAATCACAACTAATTGGCCTCCTTTGCACAGTTTTTGGACAGTTTCAGTGAGAAAAGCGTGTGGAAGCCATTGGATTTACTCAAGTGCGAGACATCATGATCTGCCCTTAAATGACTCAGGTGCTGTTCAGAGACTCGGCTTGTTTCATGCTGGTCAGCCTCATAAACCCCAAGTAGATTATGAGCAGCTCCCTAAAGTCGGAAAGTGCACCTCCAATGCCTGGATATATGAATAATTCCAAAATCCAAAAAACTCTGAAAACTACAATTTTTGTTTTTTGCTGAGGAAGATTTTGTATGTGGGTCACCACCACAGCATGGCTGATAAGTGGTGTAGGTCTGTGCCTGGCGTCCGAACCCACAAACCCAGGCCACCGAAGCAGAGCATGCTGAACTTAACCACTATGCCACTGGGCCAGCCCCTGAAAACTACAAGTTTTTCACGACTTACTTGGCCTCATGTGGTATCAAACCCAACTGAAAAGATGTGAGGCTATTTATAGTCTGAATGTATTCAACTTGGTGTGAATTTGCATACATTTTGCTGCAGAATTATTAATTTGTTTGATTACTGGTGCTGCCTCATACACAAAATATAAGGCATATGCTCCATATTATCTAACACCCAAAAAAGTATGAATTCCAAAACATGGCTGGCCCCAAAATGTTAGATAAGGGATTGTGGGCCTTTTAAATACTCTAGGTTAATCGTTCAAAGCGTATTACCAAAGTGCTTATTGAAAAGATATACTCCCAGTTCTTAAAACAAGTATCTGGATTTTCAGGACCATTTCAGGCAGTAACTGGACAATGGCCCAAAAGACCAAAGCCAAGCCATCTGACCTGACCTGACCCCTCTGGCTTCCTGCTGAGGGGTCTCCTACAAGCCACTTCTCCTTTGCAGGCTTTCAGTCTCAGTATATTGTACTGGGTGGCCGGGGTGTCACACTGGCCAAGCACAAAGACACGAGCGATGGAGACCTGTAGATCAAGTCGTGAACCTGAGCCTGGGGCTCGGGAATGCCATCCTGTTTGCTGGGGCTGGCTTTACCTTTGGAAAACAAACAGCCATAATGAAGCTGTATTAAACACCCATGAACTGTTTTAAATACACTTGATGCTGTGTTCATCTTACAATTTAACTTAACAAAATTTTGGTAAAATGCTATCTTTTTACTTTCAATCCTGGTACCTCTTTCCAAGGCTGGGAATCATGAAATGAGCGTCAAAAGGATCAGGACCCTTTGAGGCACTCTCTCTCTTTGCCTAGAACTGCTTCCACACTGCCCCTCATAAGAAAATAGCAGCAGATTCAAGCTCCTCTGACACCTTTCGGGATAATCTTGGAGGTAAGGTGGGGATGAAAGGGTTAAGTGGTTGAGACAACCAGGAGTAAAAAGACGTGAATGATAGAAATCATATGAGGTGTTCATTTTACATGTTGCATTTTTTTCCTACTTCATCTGGTATTTATATAGCTTCATATCTCTATAATAAACCTGATAAGAAAATGCAACAATATTTTTCTTGCCTTATAAAGCCCAAAACTCCTTTAAGTATGATATCCAAACTGGTTTGATTCAATTCTACAAATGTTTTTAGAATGTTGGCACATTTGTAATTTAATTAAAAGTGCCTTTGTATGACGTGAGAACAGAGTTGAAAAAGAAAGAAAAGCAGGTGATAGATCCTGGTCTGGTGGGAGGAGGGGAAAATCCCTCCGTGCTGAGAAAGGGAGCAGCAGCTGGGAGAGGAGGCCCAGGAGGGCAGTGCGGAAGGTAAGTCGGGAGCCGTGGGCCCTGGCCTGTCCGCTGCACTGTGAGCGGGGAGCACGGAGGGCGCAACTATGACTGCCCAGGGCCTTTTCTCTCCTCCTCTGGAACTGCGGCCGAAACGGCCACTGGCCATGCGAGGCACCTGGGGGCCAAGGGGCCCACTCCATGCCACCAGGAGTGGGAATGGCCATGGGCAGGGCCTTGTTGCTTCAGCCACACTTGGCCACCTTCAGATTAACAACGTCATTTTCTGAACTGAACCCAGCTGTAGGTGAGCTGAGCCACGATCCAACTACAGTTACCAGGAGTTCACAGAACAGAGGTGGCTGCCTTCGAAACTCACAAATGACAGCAGGGTGTGACACGTGCCAGATAGGAACACAGCCAGGCTTGGCTTCGGGCCAGACTGGGTTTGCCTCCGGGCTCTGCCCCTCACTAGCTGTGTGCAGCTTGTTTCCAAGTCTGTAACGTGGGATGAGGCTACCGTGTCACGGGAGACCTGTGAAGGTCAACCAAGGCCACAGGTGTGAGGACCTGGGTGTCTCAGTGAACACTAGTTGTTCCCTCCGCCCTCTCCAGCCCTGCTCATTAGGAGGCAGCAGGCGAGGGGAGCTTCTTCCCTCTTCCTGGAGAGATGCGTCTGAGCTACTTTTGAAAGACAAATTGCAAGTCTGCCTAGCAGACAAGGAGGGAGAGGGTAGTTCTGTCGCAGGGAATAACCTCCACAAAGACCCAGAGTTGCAAAGCAGTGCAGTGTGTTCAGAGAACCAGACACAGGCCAGGGGAGTGGAGACCAAAGTCAGGGCTAGCACCTGGCGGTGACGGACTGGGGCGTCCTATCAGAATTGCCATGTCCCATGTCTCTACCTGACAAAAATGTTTCCCACCCTCAAGGGTCCAATCGACCTTCCCCAGAGGCCACCTACCTGCCAGTGGGGATTCTTGTCTCCCTCCTCTGCCCCAGCTCTCACTAAACAATCCACATGAGTCACCTGTGCCACCCCCCACTCCTGGTGGCTCCCACAGCAGTGTTGTCTACAAAATTGCGTCTACAAAATCAAATTGAAATCTATATGAGATTTGCCTCTGCAAATTTGAAAGGCAATTCCAAACAGGAGTTGCAACACATTTTGAACAATGGTATAATCATCGAAGTTGGCATACAGCCTATCGATTTTGGAGGGGAACGTTAATTTGGGGGCTGTTTTTTTCTTTTTTTTTTTTTTTTTGTGAGGAAGATCAGCCCTGAGCTAACATCCGTGCCAATCCTCCTCTTTTTGCTGAGGAAGACCAGCTCTGAGCTAACATCTATTGCCAATCCTCCTCCTTTTTTTCCCCCCAAAGCCCCAGTGGATAGTTGTATGTCTTAGTTGCACATCCTTCTAGTTGCTGTATGTGGGAGGCAGCCTCAGCATGGCCAGAGAAGTGGTGCATCGGTGCACGCCCAGGATCCGAACCTGGGCCGCCAGCAGTGGAGCGCACGCACTTAACCGCTAAGTCACAGGGTGGGCTGTTTTCCTGACGATCAGCACACTGAGGTATAAGTGTGCCCCCCGTAAGGCTGGCAGCTTGTGGGGCCGAAGTGTGTCCCATCAGAAGGGCAGGGAGTGGAGCCAGGTGTCCAGAACCCCGGCTGGGCCTGCCAGCTGCCCCAGGGGAGTCAGGTTTAGGACCTAATGCTCAGTGCCCCAGTTACCTCGCCTGTCATAGGAGATAATTTACATTAAACTATACTTAGTGCGCTAAAAAGTACCTACAAGTGTAGCTCTTATAGACCTGCTCTTTGTTATCCTTTACGATGAAGTATTTTTGGCATTTCAGTTCCTCTCTTCTTACGTAGAATGTAAAATTCATCCACTGTGGCTATTCTGGTCATCAGTGTTAGATGAGTCTACAGGATCTTTTTAGTGGTCTAAAGTGTTTTAGTTGATCTTTCTAGTTAGTAGTCTGTGCCTACTAAACATAGAGAAAGACTTAATCTAGCATTTAAAAAACATAGAATTTAGGGGCCAGCCCCATGGCCTAGTGGGGGCCTAGAGAATTAGAACTTAATTCAGCGCTTAATTCAGAACATAATTCAGGGTTTGGTTCCCGGGCGAGGATCTATACCACTTGTTAGCGGCCATGCTATGGCAGCGACCCACATACAAAATAGAGGAAGATTGGCAACGGATGTTAGCTCAGGGCGAATCTTCCCCTCAGAAAAAAACAAAAACAAAAACAGTGAACTTAAAGTACAAATTACCAGTTTACAAGCTAATTAAAAATTGGCATTGCAGTAGAGACAATAGTGAAATTATTTTATTAGCAGCGTGTCCTATTGAAATAGCTATATTTTTAGCTCAATAAAAGTGGTTTATTTACTTTAACTCCATTTTTAAAATCAGACTTTAGCAGACTTTTCTCTGAATATGGGGAGGACCTACCTGCCAGCTTGAAGATAGGTAAATTTCCATACCCAAATGTATGTGCATACAAAATCTACAGGTATCAGATTTTAAAATAAACTTTAAAAAAAAGTTAATAACGTCTCATTGTAGTTAACTAGCATTTTTAAATTAATTACCCTCACAGTGGCTTCCTGTTTCTTATAGATTGTGTACCCATGTAGAAACACACATTCCCAGCCTCCCCAGTTCTTGTAGGAAGCGTTCCTAGTGGTTGTTGCTTAGAATCTCTCCAGCTTGTATCATGGTTCTCAGGCAAAAACAAAACCTGTCCACTCAAGTCTAGGAAACTGTTGACAGGGTCTCAGAGGTCATGCCTAAGGTCTGGGTTTTCTTTTGTGTGTTTGTTTTTGTTTTTAAGGAGCATTAAGTTCCTATGTGGTTAGCAACATTCATATCACACGATGGAATTCCTTCCCCGAGCAGTTACCCTGTGCATTGCAGAATCTCAGAGCAATTAGCCAGTCCACCACACAACCCCTCTTGACCGCTGGATGGCTTAGAAGTTACACATTACGAACATGCCTGAAGCACTCAGGAAAATAGAGTCGTTCACGGCTATAAAATCTTTCTGGGTGTGTGCCCTGGATGCTCTGGTCCCATTAAGGCCTTGGGTTTCTATTACAGCAAAGAAATATAAGCCTGCCCTATTAAAAATGAATCCCTAATGCAGGCAACTGAATTAAATCTCATCAAGACCTAACTAGTCAAAAGGGAGTTAAGCTTTCTGAATAACAGTCTGTAGGAATATTTTTAAGATGCTTTGAACATGCTATGCTATGGAAGGGTTAAGCAGAACCAGTTATTACTTAGGGTTTTCATTATTGAAGAAGCCACTTACTGTCAAGGGTCTCTACGATCAGACTGCACAGGGTCGCATGCTGACCCCACAACATACTAACTGCGTGAATCAGGGCAAGTTATTTGACCTCTCTGGGGCTCGGTTTTGTCATCTGCAAATTGGGGAGAGTAGAAGCACGTACCTCATAGAGGTTGTTGAGGGGATTAAATGAAATAACGCGTGTAGCACTCCCGAGCACAGTGCCTGCCCAGAGTGAGCATCAACAGGCACCCGCAGCACACGTATCTGTGCCGCGTGAAGTGCTCTGCCTGCAGAACACACGCCAGGCTTATAAACTATCAAGCACGGCGTCACACTCGTCAGCCTGGCGAGCCTCCTGACACAGTTCCCTGGAAAAGCAGGGCTCTGGAAACCTCACAGTGAAGTCGACGAGGGTGTTTGGATGTCTGGATTACGGGATGTCCTGAAAAGCTACAGTAAAACCCAAAGCACAGAGACCCAGGGCTTGACTCTTTAGAACAACTCCAGCTGGCTCTTCCAGGGCCGTGTGGAGTGTGGTGGGCTCCCTCCGGAGGTGGGGTGGGCCTTGGGGGTACCAGCAGGCCTGACTCCCAGGTCCCAACCAGCTCCCCGGCTTTCTCTGCAGACTCCCCTGCGGGCCAGCAATGCCGCCCGGCCCGCCGTGCTGGAGGGAACACCAGCAGGAGTTCACCACCACTCCGTTGGCCCTGCCAGGGAGACGGAGGGCTCCCTTTGGCTCAGCTGTAGTATTCCTTCTGTGCTCTGGTGTTGAGACTGAAAGCTAATGAGAGTCTGGAGGCCAGTCAGAAAAATAACAGCCAGTTTTATTATTAAGGATAAAAGCTGGGCAGAATGAATTGAAAGTGCTTGGGGAGCCGAGAGACAGAAGCTCAATTCAGCTCGCATCCTGGGAGGCCACAGTGCCCGCCTCTGCGCGGCAGCCAGGGCCCAGCAGAGTCTGGGTTGCGGAGACTGGGGTCGTATTCAAACCTCGTTCTAGTTTAGAGTGTAAAAGTGAGCCAGGGGGCTGGGTGGGACTCACATCAACAGATCCAGGATGGAGAAGGTAGACAGAGAGAGACGGGCAAGTCCTGAGCACGTGTGAGAAACAACGGCCTCAAACAGGCTTCCAAATGATGCTCCCCCCAAAAATCAGTTCACCGAGACCACTTCAGACAAACTTTAGGAAGACAGACAGACGTGATATCTCAAATTATTCTTTTGGCAATAGGACAGGTTGAGAGCCTTCAGAAGCAGAACCAATCACTTCAGCTTTGTCAGACTAAAAACCAACCCCACACCGCTGCCAAGGAGATATATGGGTAGAGTCTCTAATCAGAGTTGGTTTTAATTTATGAGCTGGAATGCTGGGAAAGTTTTGATTAGCAATTACTTAAATTATATTAGGCTATTTAATTTCCATTAGGCCTTTTCCCACTTAACCAAAGGTAAATGAAAAATGGCGTTCGTTTTTTATTTTAATCTAAAAGATTATTACATTATTTTTACAAACAGGTATTCTACCCTAGCCAAATTATTAATTTTTGTTCACTGTAATTAGTCAATCAGTCACCCCAAAACAGAGGGGAAAAGAATCTTTATAAGTGAAAGGAATTTTTAGAGGAGGTACTGAGAAAATCAATGAGCTCTTGCAACTTAAAGAAAACTTGATAGAACTTCATTGTAACCATGGATAGATGATGATAGATGATAGATAGTAGATAGACGATTGATCGATAGGATGGAGGGAATCAAAGATGAGTGTCTCTTGCATTATGATCAATTCATGATGACATGTCAGACTCAATTAGGGAATATGACTCGTTTTAGCTTGTATGCTTCTCCCATTATTTCTTTAATTTTTCAATCTCGCTTTTAAAAAAACTAATCATTTACTTTAAAACTTTTATGCTCTCACGTTTTGAAAACATACAGTCTCAAAAGGCCCACCCATATGTAAGCAATTGGACTGAAAACTTCCCATAGGTTCCTTGAAGATTTCTTAGAAAATAGATCACTTTTCACACCAAACGCTTAGATGGTCACTGTTTTAGGAAGTGAATAGTCACTTAAATCAATGTAACAGTAGTTGCCGCGATCTTCCCCTTTCTTGGCTTTCCTTTAGTGGATTCCTGCCTTTATTCAAGTCTCCTAATGCGCATAATTTCCCGAACCAAACACAAAGACTAAGGAGCAGCCACGTTTGGAATCAACTAATGAGCATCTGGGCCCATAGCGCGCAGCAGCCTGCAAGCCCAGGCGTTCCTTTTTGTCCCTAACTGCCCGGCCCAGCGAGGAGCACTCAGGCCCTCCCCTGTTAGGACACTGCTGTCATCATCCCAGGACAGGGGTCCGCGGGGGTCTCGACCGCCTCCGCGGCGAGCTCGGCTCCCCTGAGCGCGCTCTGCCTTGGGTCGCACAGACCGCGCCCGCCGGACAGCCGCGGCTTTGGGGCGCAGAGTGGCAGGGGCCCGACTAGCCTTCTGCATCGGGCTCAGCGAGGTGCAGCCCAGGTTGGAATCACAGAACTGCGGCAGAGAGAGAGAACTGGGACCCCAGAGGCAGAGGTATGGTCCCCGCCGGCCCGGAGCCCCCCACCCGCTCGCGTCCTGGCCCAGCGCCCCGAGCCCGGCCGCCCGACGCGAGACGCGGGCGCCGAGGGGGGCTGCCCGGAGACTCGGAGCAGACCGGCAAACTTTCTTGAGGAGCGCGGGCTCAGGGGGCGGCGAGAGGGCAGTCGGGCAGAAAGAATATCTTGGGACAAAGGACCAATTTTGGCGAAATGGGGAGAGACACCCCCGCGCACCCACAGGGAACTCCCAGGCAGAGTCCGCATTCAGGAGACCGGGTCGTGCGCGTCGGGCATTCCACGCACCGTGTCCGGACCCCCCCACCGTGGGTGCCACGGCCGCGCCCGAGTCCCGGGCTCCTAGGGCCCGCGGAGGGTGTCCCGCTCCAGGTCCCCCGGGGCGCGCGGCGCGGGGCAGTGCGGCAGCGGGACCTACCAGCGCGGCCAGGATGCGCCGGCTCTTCTCGTCGGTGCAGCGCTCGGAGAGGACGCCCGGGTGCGCACGGAACAGCAGCGCAGCCGCCAGCACCCAGCC